TTGCCATTGCAACTTTCACATATATATTGTTACATTTCTTCTTTTACTAACAAGATCCTCTATGTGGTTTTCAGCTTCTACTTCATCAATACCTTCAGGTACAAAGCAAGCAAGAGTATTTACTCACAGGGGGACTCTTTGGACAGCAGTTATAGTTGTTTAGTTCAAAAAGGATGGACACATGCAAGGCCTTGGGAAATTCTATGTTACCAGGAGTCAGACATCTAGATTGAGACGTGTCTGCTGAGACATCATTTTCAAGCGTGTCAAGAAATTTCAAGGCACATAAAACAGTCAGATTAAGTCAGACCTGAAGCTGAAAAGACCTGACAAGCCAGCAACTGCCTCCTCTCTCCAGCCATCTGATAAGCATCTGTGACAGCTGAAAATACTGAGATGATGATGTCAAACTGAGCAATCTGGCTTCTAAATACAATGGAAAGAAACACAACACTAGTGATATGTTGGTGATGTTACACAGTGTTTCCGATTCAGGAAAGCCATACTGTTTAAAAGATTACTTTCCAAACTAGCAACAACTGCACACAACTTGAGAGTTATTTTGGGCCCTCTTATAATAAAAATTAATGCAGTACTGGACTGCAACTGGAAGCTGCCTGTAAAACGACATCATGAGTTCCCTGACTGAGTATGGTAAAGAGAAAGCACTCCCAGCAGCCAAGGAGTGCACAGAGCCATTTAGTATTCCTGGATCATTAACAGAAACCATCACTAAGCTAGGAAGACAGGTAAACAGCAATTTCATTACCAAAAATAATCACTGCTGTAGCCCATACCATCCTTAGAAGCAGAAGAATATCTTCTGGCAATCCACAGCACAGATAAACCACATTAATACAGCAAATACAGTTCAAAGAGCTGTAGAAGGCTACAGGGAAAAAAAGTGCAAAGAGGAGCTCACATGGTAATACAACCAACAAAAAGAACAGGTTAAAAGTCTTGCTGTAAACCAGAGTTTAGTTCGTAAAGAGCAGGACAGCACATCACTAGATCAAAGCCTAAGCACTACTTGGATAAGAGCTAACATAAACCAAGAACTAAGAGGTCTGACCAAAAAAACCAAAACAAACCAAGAGCCCACACACCTCCAGCTTTAAAGAGAATTAATTTTCTCTTCAATGAATGAAGCAGATTTTTTCCCATCATTTTGTTCAAGACAAAGACAAACAATGCCTAATAAAAGTTATTTGGATTAATCTAAGTAAGACCGAGTGAAACAATTATTTCCCTTTGCTTACAACACAAAACAATGGGATAATTACGATATTTATACTGTCCTGGAAAGAGAGTCATAATTTGGTGTGCCAAGCAAACAAAAATAACACACAAAAACAAATGACAGGAGGCACAGATTAGCTTGTAACCAGGCAAAAATTTAGAAGAATTCATGCACCCACACAGAACAGCCTGAGAAACTTGCTGCAACTTCCATTTGTTCATTTTTACTTCAAAAATACATTTCTTGATTAGAGTACAATCGCAACACCAAAGCTGCTGCTCTGGGAATCAAAACAGGCCTAAGCTACAATTACTACAACCTTAAGAAACATGGTTACTTGATGAGTCAAGAATGAGTAAAAGACCATGAAACATACCTTGTACATTCAATTAAGGTGACTCTTAGACGACCTTCTGTCAACAGAAACTCCTCTAAACAGAGGTCTCGATCGTCACATTCATCAAGTGGCAACACATGAATTGGAAAAAATGGCTTGAACCTGAAAAATAAAGAAGATTCTTACCTTAACCCAAATGACATAAGTAACACTAACACACAGGAATCAAAAGTTAACAGGTTTACTTTTAATCTTTAACACCCCTGAAAAGAAATACTACCATTCCTACATATTCATTGGTCCAAAGGAACCTACTGAAGCTTTCTGAATGCAGGAGACTGTAGTATATAAAAAACAAAGATAACCTCACAGGAATAGATTATTTGAGTTACATTTACTGGTGCAGATAATTTTAAGAAAGTGGGAAGCTGACCAAATCAGAGTATGTTTATGATTACAAATGTGATTTAACACAAGAGCCTTTTTGCAGTAAATATCTTACCAGATCTTACAGTTTTAAGTTCAGCTGCATAAAACATCACAGCATCAAAAGGCGAAAATAAGCTATGACCCTAAAGCGCAAATTTTTATGACAGTGCTGTATTTAGAGGAATGATGCATCCTAATAAACAACATACTTCATCTACACAGAATGAAACTGCTCTCATTTTGTGAAAAACATTTGGTTGCTCTTTTCAGCCAAACTTCCTGAATTAAAATAAAGATACAGGTATTCTATTTGTCCTTGAGCTTTAGTTCCCCCCATCACAGCATGCGGTTCACACAAAAAGCAGTTCATGTTCAAGATACCAAATGTTTTACACACATTAACTCACCACATAATTCTTTCTCTTTTGGTTAGAATATACCAAGTTATAAATACCGATTTCATTTTTAAGCGATAGTGTTGGACACAGCCAAGATCTGAGGGAAGGAAGGAGGAGGGAGATGCTGCATGGCTGCTGGCCCACCACACAACTGACACACACATGCAATCCTAACAGCAAGGGCCACAACCCTGCAAATAGAAAGATACTACAGAATCTGCACTAGCATTATACAAACTATTTGAATTTGTTATTCCTTCTTTCTTATTTATTGCTCTCATTTCCCAGCACTGCCTCGTGCCTCGGTTTCCCTCCTGTCACTGACACTGTCTCCCAGTGATGATTACTGTTAAGAAGACAGAAATAGCAGGACATGAGCACCACTGCCTGCAGGAGTGTATCTGCCATTTCATGCGAAAGAAGTCTTTCATAAGTACTCTTTGCTCAGCCATCAGAGGCATCTGCTTGTCACATTCAGAGATCACAATATGTTCAGGAAACAGTCACATGGATCTGAACTGAGGAGTTTCAGAAATTCAAACAAATAATTAAGCACCCTTTAACTGTCGGCACACTCTTCGGGAGGGAGCTCGATGCTCTGATTTGGGACACTTCATTTCTGTATGAGCATCAGCCTCATACAAAGCCATGAGAAAGACATTTCTTTTGTTCTTCTTGTGAATAAATACAACTCAATACTCCAGCTATTTCCCCGAAATCCAATTCAACTTCTAACTTTAATTTGGTTCCAAGTTTCTCCCTCATTAACTCTTTCAGGAAGGAAACCATTTACCATTTTGAAATCGGTCAAGTAAAAATAATTCCATTTTAAGTACTTTATTCTATTTAGCCTGTGTATGAAAAATAGGAAGCTATTGGTTTAGGCTTATGAGTATACTGGAAGAACCAACTCAAAATATGCCTTGTACATGTACTATCTACTCTGATATTTTACTCATAATCTTCCTTATTACTAAATAGTAAGCATCACAAGGGTAGGAAAAATACCACCAAGGTAAACAAACACTATTTTCACTCTACAAGACTTGATGCCACTTCAGGGCCTGACCACCTCCCCGGTCACACCAACCCTGTGCCAGCACAGCATACACCACCTCACACTTTTCCTGCTTTAAGCATGGGCAAGGAGAGCCTGTTCCTTTTAGGAATGCTTTTTACCCCCTCGAAATACAGATTTAGCTCAGATTTTGTTAGTTAAAAAATCGGAAGATTGAAGCAAGCACATTAGAAAATAATGCCAAGTTCTAAACTAATAAATTACTTGTAGGTTTGGGGTTTTTTTTCTAGCACAAAGAAACTATTTTTCAGTAAGTACCAGCAACTGCCCATATACCTTCTCCAAAAAATCTAGTAAAAAATGGGAACCTCAAACTTACGAGCACCATCAGAAACTTCAGAGATATACTGAAATAAGAGGATCCAACAGGTTACCTTGCTGAATTTCTGCAAATTGCCTAGCTTAAAGTGTCAGCACTGATAAAGTCTTTCCCTTATATATACACCACAGAACAGCCTGAAGGCCACTTTACAACACCCACAAACACAGCCAAATCTATTTTCAGTATTAAAAACAAGGGCAGAACAAAAAGAGCAAAATAACAGACTAAAATACATTACATTCCAGTAAGGATTCAGACATTTCTACCTACATATTCAAATGAAAGATGTCATCTCCCAAGTAACTTCAGAAGCAAGTGTTCTGCGCAGCACATGCAGCAATCTTTTGCTGCAGCATGGAAAGATGAAATAATCCTCAGAAGAAGTATTTTTTCTTGGGAGATGAAGGCATAACGTTTACTGTTATTTTGATTTCTGCTTTCAAAATACTTTAATACAGTGAGTTAAAGAGGAAAAAATTCTAAAATACCGATTTTGTTAAACACAATAATATGCAAAATACTTTACAGTGTCTACTGGACTTTGTGCAGCACTAGTTGCTTTTTCTAAAAATATGGGATTATAAAGCAGTCACATCATTTTTAATTTACAAGTGCTTATGGTCACATTCTTCTATTACTGCAACTAATTTGCAAAATCCTTAGCAAAAAACCTTACACGTTACCCATTTGCATTGGCATTAGCAATGTACAAGGTGCTAAATATGCCACAGTAAATGCATTTTTAATGTTTAAGTGCTATGTTGTAAAATTGGAAGGCTTCAGAGCAACACTTATCTATTTAAGGCAATTTACTGAGAGTTCATACACTTCCAAAATTAACTATCAGACAAATTACTATTTCAAGTAGATTTCAATTACATCTTCAGTAAGTGAACTGGTGACAGAATATTTAAGCACAAGACAACCCAAATTTATTTGGAAAAAGAGAGTTTCCTACTGGGAACTGGTGAATTAACACAGACCCAGACCGCGACAGTTGTTAACAGGCCAGACTCCGTTCCCTTGAGTTCTAAAACCACAACCTACAATTCATGCACACACCCGAGCCAGGTTCTCCCATCGTTTTCCCCACATAGGGAAAGCATGTGAACTCCCCTATCTTTTAAAAACACAGTCCCCAATAACAAAGGGCACTGTGGGGAATGTGTTCTTACAGAGCCATCCCTGCTGCAGTTCTGTTCAGTCTAGCAGGAGCGCAGCAGAACAGCAACAGATGTTTTCTCTGCAGAGAAACCAGATTCTCCACCTCTGCAATGTCTAATTTTCCTGCTTGAAAACAATCATGTTGCCAGACAAAGTGCAATTGTGAATTTGTTTCAGAAAGCATTTACAGTAGGGACAACAAAACACACTCTTAGTATGAAAGCAAAGCTGTATTTCATCGAATTAAAGTACACTTTTAGCTGATAGTGCCAACAGCACAATTCAGTGAACGAGACAAGAGATACAAACACCATTCCCAAGCCCTGCCGACTATGGTACCTTTGGTGATTCAGTATCTTTCTATCCCAGACTTTCCTATGTAAAGAGAGGTAAGCTTTCGATCATCCTGGGATCATTATTATAATGTAGAACTTGTTGTATTAAATACCTTGTGTAAGTAACTTTGGTGTTGCTTCCGTAATAGCTTTAAAAGTGTATTTTGCTACCATCTAATATTCAAGATCTCTGAAGATCAAAAATCCACCAATAAATGCTTTAGAGAAATTCATCACACTTATGAAGAAAGAAAAAAAGACTGTAGCCTGCTAGTAAGCCTCTAGTCAAGAAGTCTGTAGAGAAACTTTGACAGCAAACTAAATGCCTCAGTTAATCTGAGCAGCTCTCTGCCCTCCCCACAGCAGTCATCCCAGTATCTGGTCAGTCCTGGCTGCCGTTCTGGTTACAGTTGCTCCTGTAAATTCAAGGCTTTCACCTTGCAAACTCTGAACAAGAAAAAGAAAAAGGTGTTTTCTATTTGGCTGTCTAGAACTTTAAACACTTATCCAGTATTCTCAGCTCCTTTTCTTGACTTCAACTGGTAACCAAAAAAGTTAGTGGACCTCCACCTGTGAGGAGCAAGCCCATAACAAATGGTTTGCAATCGGTCCATTCACTGCTGCAGCCTGAGAAAAAGGTTTTAAGCCATGGCAACAGAGTGGGGAAATCTAGGAGTTGTTCCTGACAGTACAACAGACAATAAAGTATTACTAAAAGGTACTAACAAGAAATATAGTACCTTTATATACACTGCTGAGCTGCCACAAGATTCTTCGAGGCAGACTTTCATTACATCTATGTTAGACCCCTTTCAAGACGGGTCTAATGCTACCATCTCCTTATTCAGCAAGGTCAAAAGGCAAAATTCATGCTCATGTCACAAATCCTTGACCTACAAACAGGATTACACCAACTCAATTCATACACCCAAAATCCTCTTTTTCCATTCCAAACCTATGATACTAAACTACCCAAACTAAGGGTGATTTTATTGGGGAGAAATTTTACTGTCTTTAAATTATATTTGTTAAGCCTTTGTAAGCTTTTTGTCATCTCCAGAGGAACAAAATAGGCACGTTGTTGCTATTTGAGCAAACAGACCTCTTATACCCCTGACCCAAAAGCATGCTTTGATAGGATGTGCTATTAAAAGAAGTCCTTAAAAGCGCCTTCTCTCTAGATGCTTAGAGTATGTTTTCAATTTGCTTTTAAATTATCAGTCTCCCTCCACAAATTTATCATATTATTTGCCCAGAAGTCCAAAATTCAAATAGCACACTATTAAGAAAACGTTAGTTAAAAGCCAACGTTTTGACTTAAAGGAATATCCATCAACCAAACTTCAAGTGAAATTGTAGTGAGGGGAAAAAAAGCACCCCTATAGAAATAATATTTAAAAGAAGCTGTCGGGTAGCAAGTATGCTTCTCAAGAAAA